TGTGCTGGGCCCGGCCCGTAATCTGCCATGGGCCCACGTAACCCCACTTTCCCCATGCTTTTGACGTTTCAAAAAAGGTGGGGAAATTCCCAACCCTACAATGTTAAAACCCCCTTTACGAACCCCCGAAAGGGGCCCTCACAATTTCCTGATGTTTTCAAGCGGATAAAGGTACTCCCTGTGTAACTTAGATGTCAGCCCTTTTCCAGTAAAGCGTGACACCTGCGCCTTCGCCAGGCCCTTTGAGGAGGGCCCCGCTATTCGGGGAGTCGGGGAAGGGGCTATGGGAAAAGAACGACGTTTATTCCTCTGGGTTTCACGTCCTGGAAAAACAAATGCGTTAAAAAATGGCTTTGGGCAGGGTGCTTGTAGACGGGCCACAATCTCAACGCCAAATGAAACCCCGGGGGGGGAGGACAGGGAAAAGAGGGGGAGGTAGAGGAGGACCCTTGGTGGGTCAGGAATTAAAGAAGTGCAATGGGGGGGTTTTTTTCCCCCTCCCGGACAGGAGTGGAGGAGGTCAAGGAGCATCTGGTACAAGAGGAGAGGAGGAACAGAGGACCCACCCAAACGCACCGTGGCAGTATCTGGTGGAGATGGAGACAGGGAGTCCCTCGCATTCCTTTGGGCCCACAATGGCCCTTAGCATGCTCGCATGGCCTTGCGTAGCGACAGCGCCGAATAATAACCAACAGACAGAGGGTTGACTTTTGGCTGTCCACCTTGTTGACCCATCGCTACCGTACAAAAAAGGGTGGCCTTTTTTCACACATGCTTAGAGGGAGGCCAAAATTAACGTACTATAAAAAACCACCTATGTAGTCAGCTGGTCTCTGCCTTTCTGCGCCAACGTCCGATTCCACAGACATCTGTTGGGGCTCTGGTGCGCTCCCGCGTTCCGCTGCCATTGGCAGCAGGGGAGGGGTGGGGTGGTAGGAGCAGTGGCAGCTCCACCTGCAGCGGCTGCCTCACGTCTGCTGTCGATGAGGAGTAGCTTTCTTTCAAACCAGGCAGTGAGGAAAATTTACTAACCAGCCGCAGCAGCAGCTGCCAGCATCAGGTGGACTGGAGCAGGACCTCAAACAACATGCTTAGGCCTACTTGGACAGCACCCTCTGCCAACCGAGGTAGTGACAATCCCCTTGACTACTGGGCAACGAAACTTGACCTTTGGCCCCAACTAGCTGAATTTGCCCCTTGAAAGGCTGTCTATGCCCGGCCAGTAGCGTGGCATCGGAGCGCGTGTTAGTGCGGCAGGAAGTATTGTAACTCCGCGGAGGACACGACTGTCCACCCAAAGTGTCGGAGAGACTCACGTTTGTGAAAATGAATCAGGCGTGGATTAGTCTGGATTTCAAAACCAACAGTTCCTGACACAACTGACTAAATCCGCCATGAAATCATGCCCCAAACATGTGCCACTTTCCCAGGTCTCCTCACACTGCTGTGTGTTCCATTTTTTGTCATAGGGTGCTGGCAGATTACGGGCCTCCCATTGCTGCTGCCAGCACGTAATCTGCCATGGGCCCCTGTACCGCCTCCTCATGCTGCTGCCAGGTCCAGAGTGTGTCATGGTCCCTGTACGGCCTCCCATTGCTGCTGTCTCCATCGCCACACTCTGCCATGTGCCCACATTTTCAGGGTCTCCTCACACACTGCTGGTGTGTTTCCATTTTTTGTCATAGGGTGCTGGCAGATTACGGGCCTCCCATAGCTGCTGCCAGTCCCCTGTACCCGAGCCTCGTCATGCTGCTACGCCAGGTCCACAGTGTCCTCATGCCATGTGCCCACTTTCAGGTCTCCTCACACTGCTGTGTGTTCCATTTTTTGTCATAGGGAGCTGGCAGATTACGGGCCTCCCATTGCTGCTGCCAGGCACCCGTAATCTGCCATGGGCCCCTGTACCGCCTCCTCTTGCTGCTGCCAGGTCCACAGTGTCTCATGCCATGTGCCACTTTCAGGTCTCCTCACACACTGCTGGTGTGTTCCCATTTTTTGTCATAGGGGTGCTGGCAGATTACGGGCCTCCCATTGCTTACTGCCAGGCCTTAATCTGCCATGGGCCCCTGTACCGCCTCCTCATGCTGCTGCCAGGTCCACAGTGTCTCATGGGTCCCTGAACCGCCTCCCATTGCTGCTGTCTCCATCGCCACACTCTGCCATGTGCCACTTTCAGGTCTCCTCACACTGCTGTGTGTGTTACATTTTTTGGTCATAGGGTGCTGGCAGATTACAGGCCTCCCAATTGCTGCTGCCAGGCCCTAATCTGCCATGGGCCCCAGTACCCGCCTCCTCATGCTGCTGCCAGGTCCACAGTCTCTCATGGGTCCCTGTACGGCCTCCCATTGCTGCTGTCTCCATCGCCACACTCTGCCATGTGCCACTTTCAGGTCTCCTCACACTGCTGGTGTTGTTCCATTTTTTGTCATAGGGTGCTGGCAGATTACGGGCCTCCCATAGCTGCTGCCAGGCCCTAATCTGCCATGGGGCCCCTGTACCGCCTCCTCATGCTGCTGCAGGTCCAGAGTCTCTCATGGGTCCCTGTACGGCCTCCCATTGCTGCTGTCTCCATCGCCACACTCTGCCATGTGCCACTTTCAGGTCTCCTCACACACTGCTGGTGTGTTCCATTTTTGTCATAGGGTGCTGGCAGATTACGGGCCTCCCATTGCTGTTGCCAGGCCCGTAATCTGCCATGGGCCCCCCGTACCGACTCCTCATGCTGCTGCCAGGCCCGTAATCTGTCATGGGCCCCTGTTGTCGCTTGTTGGCATATTCCGCTCGTTCAGATGCTCCTTCTCCTGCTACTCCTCTTCACGGATTCCGTCAGCAGTCTTTCTTGGAATCCGTTTCCAAGAGACAACAGTTTGCGAGCACGCACCCGACGGTGCAGAAGCTGAACGTCCTCCTGTCCAAGTTGCTGCTGCCAGGCTCGTAATCTGTCATGCGCCCCTGTACCGCCTCCTCATGCTGCTGCCAGGTCCAGAGTGTGTCATGGGCCCCCGTACCGACTCCTCATGCTGCTGCCAGGCCCGTAATCTGTCATGGGCCCCTGTACCGCCTCCTCATGCTGCTGCCAGGTCCAGAGTGTGTCATGGGTCCCTGTACGGCCTCCCATTGCTGCTGCCAGGCCCGTAATCTGCCATGGGCCCCCGTACCAACTCCTCATGCTGCTGCCAGGCCCGTAATCTGTCATGGGCCCCTGTACCGCCTCCTCATGCTGCTGCCAGGTCCAGAGTGTGTCATGGGTCCCTGTACGGCCTCCCATTGCTGCTGTCTCCATCGCCACACTCTGCCATGTGCCACTTTCAGGTCTCCTCACACTGATGGTGGTTTCCATTTTTGTCATAGGGTGCTGTATGGCCTCCCATTGCTGCTGCCTCCACCGCCACACTGTGGCTCCACACTCTGGTTTTGGCACCGTGACTGCCCAAATGAGTGAAGTGTGCGGTGATTCTAAGATCGACGGCACTCTATTAACAAACATACTGTTGAGAGATCAGAATCACTAGAGAAAATACATTTGAATAGGATATTGCCCATTATTATGAATAGTTTTGATTTTAAACATGTCTGTTATCATATAAATATAGTGAGTACAGAAAAGAATCACCATCCTTTAAAATAAGAATTTTTTGTTGCTTTTGGAGCCTGAAATGAAGACAGACACAGTTTTTGTTTATCCAGCTGTATTTACTCAGTGCAACTTATAACATCCAAGTGAAACATATAACAAGAACATCCCAAAAAAAATTAAAAACAACTGAAAAACAGAATCGCTGAGTTGGAAAAGGATCAACCCCCCCCCCCCCAAAAAAAATGACTTGTAAACACAATTAGGTGTAGCTAATTACCTTCTTAATGGCACACAAAGCCATTTGACTTTCAACTGTTATCAGCTGTTGTCATTTTGATTAGCTAAGCTTTGAAAGAGCTTTCCTGGAGCATTTCAGTCCCTGGTAGTGCAAATGAAACAAACAATCAACTATGGGTGGCGACGCACTGTCAAAAGATCTCTGGGATAAAGTTGTGGACAAGCACATGTGAGGAGATGGATACAAAAAAATTTCAAAGGCTTTATTGAAGCCTAGAAGCACAGTGAAGTCTATTTTTAAGAAGTGGAAGGTATTTAGTACAACACAGACCCTCCCTGGATCAGAACGTCACTCCAAGCTGGATGAAACCAGGAGAAAACTGGTTAGAGAGGCTACCAAGAGGCCTACAGCAACTCTGAAACAGTTGCAGGAATTTTTAACAGAGTGGTCATTGTGTGCATGTCACAACAATAACACAAATTGTCCACAAATGTGGCTTGTATGAGAGGGTTGCAAGAAAAAAGCCATTCCTCAAGAAAGGCCACATGCAGTCACGACTGAGCTTTGCCAAAATGCACCTTGAAGATTCTCAGGCCACATGGAAAAAGATGTTATGGTCAGATGAGACTAAAATTTAATAATTTGGCCTCAACACTAAAGGATGACTGGCAGAAATCTAGTACAGCTCACCATCCAAATACAACCATTCCTACAGTAAAGCATGGATGTGGTAATATCCTGTTATGGTGGGTTTCTCTGCAGCAGGAACTGGAGCACTTATCAGGATAGAAGGAAAAATGGATGGGGCAAAATACCATCAAATTCTTGAGGAAAACCTGCTGCCCTCTGCCAGAAAGTTGTCAATGGGAGGAAGGTTTACCTTCCAACATGACAATGGCCCAAAGTTCACAGCAAATGACAGCACAGTGGTTGAAGGAGAAAACGGTGAATGTCCTTTCATGGCCTAGTCAGAGCCCAGACTTAAACCCCATCGAAAATCTGTGGAATGACTTGAAGACAGCAGTCCACAACCATCATTATCAAATTTAACTGAACTTGAGCAGTTCTGCAAAGAAGAGCGGGCAAATATTGCAAAGTCTAGATGTGCAAAGTTAGTAGAGGCATATCCCAACAGACTAAAGACTGTAATTAACCATTAGCTGCCCGGCCAATGGCCGTTTGGTGGCTTCAAAAGTGTCTCTGCACTCCGGGTGCACGCCATTTGGCGTGCTCCCGCACATGCGCAGTTTGCGCTAATGCAGAGCGGCGCAGCAGTGCGATCTGTCACCGGCCGTGCACCTCGGACACGGCCGATGACAGATCTGAGTACCGGCTCCCGTTGCTGGTACCATGTGACCTGCTGTGACCAATCACAGCAGGTCACATGACAGTTGTATACAATGGATGGCTTCATTCATGATGCCATCCATTGTATACTAGTGCCTAGCTGTGAATGGTCACAGCTAATCACATGCACATGTCATGTGATTAGCTGTGACCAAATCACAGCTAAGCACAAAAAAAAAAAAAAAAGCTGAATGAATCGATTTCATTCAGGTAAATGCTTGCTTATAGCAAAGTAATTCTTTGCTATAAGCAAATTGTGTAAAAAAAAAAAAAAATACTGATCACTTCCCCAAAGTAGTACAATGTTACTATGGTAACATTGTACTACTTTGGTCATAGTAAAATATGAAAAAAAAATCTTAAAAAAAATAAACAAAATGTAATAAAAAATTAAATATAATAAAAAAATAAAAAAATATATATATTTTTTTTTTCATACTGTCACCAGTCAGTGTCCCTGTTCACCACCATGCCAGTTATATGATATGACACTGTACTGCACTGGTGACAGTATGTAAAAAAAAAAAAATAGTGAAAATAATTTTTTTTAATTTTTTCATTTTCCGAAAAATTATGACAAAAAAATACAACTTCAAAAAACTCGCCATGCCTCTTATGAAGTACGTCGGACTGTCTACTCTGCAAAAAGGGGTCATTTGGGGATATCTGTACTATTCTGACATTCTTGGACCTCAAGAAATTAGATTGGCTGTCAGTACTTCAGGATTGATCAATATTCAGATCTATACCATAGTTTGTGAACTCTATAACTTTCCTACCAACTAAAAAATACATCCTAATTTGGGTTATTTTCACCAAAGACATGTAGCAGAATACATCTCGGCCTAAATTTATGAAGAACAATTATTTATTTGTAAACTTTTATAACAGAAACAAAGAAAAATGTTTTTTTTTTTTCAAAATTTTTGGTCTTTTTTTGTTAATTTAGCAAAAAATAAAAACCCCAGCGGTGATTAAATACCACCAAAAGAAAGCTCTAGTTGTGTGAAGAAATTGATAAAATTTTAGTTTGGGTACAGTGTTGTATGACCGCGCAATTGTCATTCAAAGTATGAGAGCGCTGAAACCTGAAAAATGGCCTGGGCAGGAAGGTGTAAAATTGCACGGTATTGAAACGGTTAAAGCAAAAAGTGGTTCAACAAAATATTGATACAAGGGGGTGATCCATTTTCCAACTCAGTGATTCAGTTTTTGAATTTTTAAAAAATGTTTCTGACATGTTGGTGTTATATCTTTCACTTGGATGTTATAAGTTGCACTGAGTAAATACAGCAAGATAAGACAAAAACTGTGACTGTCTTTATTTCAGGCTGCAAAGCAACAAAACGTGATTATTTTAAAGGGGGGTGAATCTTTTCTATACACACTGCATTATCTTTTGATTTTTTTTTATGTATTTTTGTGTTTTGGTATCCTCTTCTCTTCCTTCACTTTCCCTTGCTCTCTCACATATGAGTATGTGAAATATAACATACACTACGCATGGCAATTGTATATGTTTACCCCATTTCTGTATATTCTCAGAAAGACAAATATCTTGAATTCCTAACTCAACGATTGTTGGAATACTTGTCAGTACTGAAAACAAACAATATTTTACTTTTTTCTGGTAAAAGAATGTTTTTCTTTTCCTTTTTTTATAGGAAAACATATAATCAGTGGCTGAGATATCACAACTTACCATCAGTGTTACTGCAAGCATTTCTTCCAAGAAATAGCACATTCCTTTACACAGCTTCTGTAAATAATTCAGTGTCTTCCTTAACAAGATTCTGTTCAAAAAAGGGATTCCCTTTATGTAAATTCTATACTTCCAGTCTCTAAAGACTGGAGGCAAGTAATTTTTTTTTTTTATCACAAAGCAGTTCTTTCAAGCATTAATGCAGAAATGCTTTTCAATTTGACAAGGGAAATTCATTTACGTCTATCTGATTGTCTTGTCACAGTAAGTAAACAGTGACTGTTGTTGAAAGAAAGATGTCAAGTAGGTGGGTATACATAAAGACATATGTCAAATATAGCTATCTGTGGCAGCATTTATGGTAAGTAGGTACAATGTATTTTAAATAAGCAGGAGACCAGTAATAATTGATGTTAATAAATTATAGGGAAGGAAATATGTTGCCACATTTAAAAACAACTGTATTTTCAGTTAGTTAAAAAATGGTGAACTTATAGTTTGAGACTTCACATCTGCAGCTGCCAAGGTCAGTCTGACCTTAGCATGTCTGCAAGGAAATGTAATTTATAGTGCAAATTCTTGGATGGGTATCATGGCAAATTCACAGATGGCTGCAACCCAAGGCAAAGTCACCAAGCTGAAAGGAAAGTGCCAAGTTTAAAAGAGAGTATTTAAATAGCATCTAGCAGGTTTAGATCAAGGAATATGACCCACATGGTAATGCAATTACATTGAGAGCAACTATTCCACTTAGATAAGATTCTGGTCGAGGCTCTTGGGAGACATACTTGCCACCGTTGATTTAACTTTATACTGCTTGGATATATTCTGATTTGCAAATTGTAGTTACCCATGGCAGCCAACCAGATTGCAGTAAATCTGGATTGGTTGTTACTGGATTGCTGGATTTCTGTATAATTTCCTCCAGAACAAGCACATTCACCTCCATACAGGATTTGTAGGAAGGCAGTGGGAGGTCAGTTCCCAAAGATTGAGTAGTCTAACGTCCTCTCTCTCTTGGTCTGCTTTCTAGATCACCAATCGCATTCAAACTTTGAAAGCAAGCTTGGATCTGATTGGTGGCTATGAGAATCATCTTAGTGCCAACAGTCTTAGATTAGGGTTGAAACATACCTCTGACAATTATAAGGAGTAAAAGTATAAATTTTCACACAGATTCTTACATAACATACCAAATGAAACTTAGATACAGCTCTAAGAACTGTCCTATACAGTGTGGTATTAGTTGTAGATGAGTATACTCATGGGTTGGACAACGAGTTGACTGTTTTGAGCAATTCTCTTGCCCTGGAAACAATTTGTCGAGGCTCACCTGCAAAGAGTCAGGCACCTTGGTTCCATCCATGTCACACAAAGTCTTCACCATTGCATGCGCTGGATACTTTTCACTCCGCTCCTCATGTGCAGAACTTCTCTGATGTTCTTTCCAAGTCCCCAAGACACACTGCTCTTCAACTATCCCTGCTGGTCCCATAGCACTGCAAACTTCCCTTCAGACGCCTAATGCAGCATTACCTTGAAAGGCTTAATCTTCCAGTCCACCTGCAAGGGCATGGCACAGCACCCCCTGTATGTTAGCTGATGTCAATGTGCATCCTTATTGTTCCAGCTTT